GAAGTAGAAAGTACAGGTATTTGAGTTCAACATGTAAGAAGTAGAAAGTACAGGTATTTGAGTTCAACATGTAAGAAGTAGAAAGTACAGGTATTTGAGTTCAACATGTAAGAAGTAGAAAGTTCAGGTATTTGAGTTCAACATGTAAGAAGTAGAAAGTACAGGTATTTGAGTTCAACATGTAAGAAGTAGAAAGTACAGGTATTTGAGTTCAACATGTAAGAAGTAGAAAGTACAGGTATTTGAGTTCAACATGTAAGAAGTAGAAAGTACAGGTATTTGGGTTCAACATGTAAGAAGTAGAAAGTACAGGTATTTGTGTTCAACATGTAAGAAGTAGAAAGTACAGGTATTTGAGTTCAACATGTAAGAAGTAGAAAGTACAGGTATTTGTGTTCAACATGTAAGAAGTAGAAAGTACAGGTATTTGAGTTCAACATGTGAGAAGTAGAAAGTACAGGTATTTGTGTTCAACATGTAAGAAGTAGAAAGTACAGGTATTTGTGTTCAACATGTAAGAAGTCAAAGTAAAAAGTCGTCAGAAAAATAAGTAGTGGAGTAAAGTACTGATACAGAAAAATGTACATGAACAAAGTATTTGTACTCCACTACTTCCCACCTCTGGTAGTAAGGAATCTTCCTCCTCCACTTCCTCTTCCTCTCTTGCTGCAGGGTGTTGTCCCCGATCTGACACCATGAATTATGGATTTAATAAAAACTCCTCTGAGAGTCCTCCACTGACACACATCTGCTCTTTCACTTCTCTTCATGTTAACACTGTTTAATATGCCTGATTGTGCATGTGAGACCATTTTCAAGCACAAATTCATGGTTTAATTTCCTCATCTGCAATCTCTAGAGCATTGTACACATCTGCAGGGTGTGTTAGAGAGAATGACAAAAGAAAACCGCATTTATTTCGATGTTTTCATGCAGACTGGCAGGAATACCCAAGAAAAGTTAATGCCAATTGAATTACGATGATATGAAGATGTGTATTTATGCAAGTATACACATTTACTCATACACAAGGAGAAACTGCTACGTGCTAATACGTGCTAAATGTTTATACATGCTAAATAATAATAATATTTAGGGTTAAAGGTATATTTTCTGAATTCTTTGTATTTATATAATATGTTCTATTTTCCTGTGTTTCAGAGAGGATGGGATGTTGACAGGTTGTTCCTCGAGCTACAGGAGAAGCTTCAGAGTCACCTGACCTCCGGCCGGATCCAACATGGCCGCCCATCGAATCCGAGCCACGGCCACCAACAACACGTCGCTGCCTCGCTGCCGCTCCGAGGGAACGCTCATCGACCTCAGCGACAGCCTATCGGAAGCCAGTCTGAACGATGTCAAAGGTCAGCTGGTCAAGGGTTCAAGGCTTTCATTGTTATTCGTGCATAGCTACAGTGTAGATATGAAAAGGTCACAGGCTCCTCCAACAGAGCAACACAATAACACAAATAGAATATCATAGAAATAGTGCAGAATAGTCGATGCATTCATAAATGCTTTTATTCTGCCTTTTACCTCCAGTGTTTTGATTCACATTTGAATCTATTTTTGACCCTTTTTTGTGAAGTTGTCCTATGTGTTTCTGTATTTCAACTGTACTAGATGCTCTTTGGTCACCCGTAAAGCATCTCGGGCTGGGTTATATAAAGTTGGTATCTTTTTGTGATATGAGAAAAGATATTATGTTAGATTTAGGATATTGTAATATCACAAAAATGTATTTTCTGGTTTTAAAAGCCTTGTTACAGTAAACAGATTTGAGTAATTGGAATATTGATATATATAGGTTGCAAACAGATGAATGTTTTGGATGTTCTTTCAAAAGTTCAGGTTTTTAACTGTCTTATTTTTTTATTTAGCCTTTATTTAAACAGGTGCAAAATCTCATTTTCAAGAGAGACCTGTTCCGTGGTAACACTACCACACAAAGTTACAGACAGACAGGACACTAAACACAGAGGCAACACTAAAATACAACATCGTAAAAAGTAGTCATTGAAATCCATATACAGTAATCTGATATTACACCCGCAGAGGATTTCTCCAGCTAATCCAAATCCAAGTTTAAAATCTGTGATGGGTATCAAACTGGTCCGCTTAACTTCCTGCTGAAGTGTGTTCCAGGTCAAGGGGGCAGAGTATGATATGGCTTTTTCCCCAAGCTCCGTGCGGACTTATGGCCTGATCACACGGAGAAAGGGAAAAACAGGAAGTGACACGTCTGTAGTTTTAACGAAATTGACTTCGAATGATCAGATTGTATTGTTTTTATTTGAAGTTTAAAATACACACAGCTAATCACTGCAATGTGGGAAATACAATATGAACATGAGGCCACTCCACATTCTTACACATATTTCTATAAATTCAGCTTTTGTAAACATCGTGGCCTTTGGTCCACACCGACGACTGGAAGCTGATCACTTGGGAAACTCTGTGAAGATATTCAGAAAGTCTGTTTGCAGGGGAGGTTTTTCCCCCCTTAGTCATGTCTAATGTCATTCAACAGCGGCAGCAATACATCCATGGACAGCTGATACGTCAAATAACATTTAATCAGGACTTTCTTACTTAAATAAACAGTAACGTCCCCGCTATCTGAAGACGAGAGGTTTCAGAATGACATCAAGTGTAGTTTTAACGAAATGACTTTGAATGATTTTGTTATTATGCTGCTCAATCACCCAATACAATAAACGGCAGCTTCTTTTCGATACCAGTTTAATGGTACGTTAATTCAAAGTGAAGGGAAATCACATGTATAGATATATATATGTTAATGTGCAAGATGGCTGTTGTTGATAAGAGTGCAGCATGCAACCTTTTGTCCGTTATGAAAGCACCATCAGGACACTCACACTGCCATACTCCACATGAAGACTCTTCAAATAGCAGTCATTCGTTTGGCTTGTAACTTTAGAGTCTTGGCTTTTGTTGTGAGGGGTCAATAAGAAGGTGTATGGAAGAGGATTAGGGTCACATGTGAGACACGTGTTACAAAAAATGTAGTCCTGAGAAAATAAATCTAAATTCTGGGAAAACATTTGAAAGTAAAAGTTCTCAGAACTAAAAAGAAAAACACGTTTGATTCAGTGTTGAAGAAAGATCGTTTACACACGAGCAAATGGGGTTAAAACCGGTGTGGACTTTAAATTCTCATGACACTCTTTGTTTGTTGACAAGACATTGAGGCATGTTTAGTTAGAGAGGTGAAAGTGAACAGCAAGTAGACTTTGTTCTTTCTGTCACTTAATGAATCACAAGCATCCGGAGCAGATGAATTAGTGATCAGACGTTCAGTTTCCTCCGCTCTGAGCTGTTGTCTGTGCTCCACTTCTCTGAAGCATCTGGTAGTGACAGTCCTTAGCTGCATGGGAAAGCTTGAATCTCTTTCATTATGCATTGTGTTGATGTCCTTGCAAGCAGGGAAGTTATTTTGTTCTTCTATTTCACTGTTTTGCAATGTAGGCCAAAGGAAAATATGCACTTTAATCATGTTTTTATTCTTTCAACATTTGCGAAATAGTATATATAAGAATCTGAAATACATGAATGTTTGCTATGGGGAAATGTACTGTTTTGTTACAGTTGTTTCCATTATAAAAAATTAAGAAATACATACAAATAAAAACAAAGAAAATGGGAACATAGAAAAATGAAATGTGTTAAGAAATATTCAACAATATACAATATGAACACGGATTCTATGGTTGAGTATAAAATAAATGCAGGGTTAGATATGATCTGCTTTTAAGAAGAAATGTACAGTATTGTATAAATGCATTGGTAAACCAGAGTATTGCCCATTAATTATTACCCAAAAGTTAACCCATTGTATTGCACAGATATAAATAAATGATAGCTGCTGACAGGGGGGAATATATTTAATTCAAAGGATCTAAAATATATCTGACAGGGCATTCCCTAGGGGTATTATTATAAAAAATACATTGTGGTAAAAGTCCCCCTTTTCCTTATGGACCTGATCTTGGGATCCTGAAAGGAATTTGCTAGAAGAAACTCAACAGACTGCACCTAGCGGCAACATTTCAAAGATACGATACGAACACTTTATTGGTCAGATCAAGTCTGACATTTGACTGGCATGCATCTGACATCAACAGACAAACATCAAGACACAATACATGAAAAACAAACAGCACACATTGAACATAACAGCAGAATTAGTGAGAGACAAGCTGCTCAAAGAGCCTTCAGCGTGCATTTGATCTGATTCAGCTCTGTATTTACTGAGAGGGGTGACTGGAGCTCAAAGGATGCTTCGGTCACATCGCAAAATGTGAAAGAGGCTATAATGCATGCATTTCAACTCATTCCACTTGTGTTCTGTTTCTGTTCCAGTGCCTTCTCCCAGTGCCTTGCGCCTGGACTCCACTGCCTCCTTCGGTGCCGCTCGGGAAGTCGTGGCCATCAAAGACTACTGCCCCTCCAGCTTCACCACGCTAAAGTTCTCCAAAGGGGACCGCCTCTACGTGCTGGACTCGTCAGGAGGCGAGTGGTGGTACGCCCACAACAACACGGAGATGGGTTACATCCCGGCTGCTTACGTGGAGCCCATCAACTTTAGGGACTCGTCTTTCAGCGACAGCGGGATGATAGACACCGTAGGGGACGGTATCGAGGAGGCAGCCAAAGAAATGGACCTCTTAGGGGAGTGGGCCGGGGTGATTCTGAAACCCACCACCTTCCAAAATGGGAATCCTTTCGCTACAACCAATACCTCGACGAACCCTTTCCTGAACGGGGGTCCTCCGAGCTCCCTTGATCAGAACAGTAATGAGAAATCAGTGGACCTCTTATTGTTTGATACGCTCATTCCGTCAGTGCCCAACTCCACCAGCAGCGCCACAACCAATGGTTTCAATAGCGTTTTTAACCCCATTAGTCCCAGTGTAGGACCGGGACAAACGCTGCGCAGGGACAACCCGTTTTTTAGAAGCAAAAGATCCTACAGTCTGTCCGAACTGTCGATCCTTCAGGCTCAGTCCGACGCCCCTCAGGGCTCCTCTGGGTTCTTCGGAGGCTTGAAAGCACCGGCACCAGAGCAGTTTCAGAGCAGGGAGGACTTCCGGACAGCTTGGTTAACCCATCGTAAGCTAGCCAGGTCCTGCCACGACTTGGACTCGCTCGGACAGAACCCAGGATGGGGTCAAACGCAGCCGATTGAGACCAGCATCGTCTGCAGGTTGGACAGTTCAGGAGGCGCCGTCCAGCTTCCCGACAGCAACATCAGCATCCTTTTACCGGAGGGCCACGTGGCACCGGGCGACACCCAGCAGATCTCAATTATAGCTCTGCTGGATCCCCCTCTGGAGCTAAACAACGACCGCTGCACCACCGTCAGCCCCGTGGTGGAGATCAAACTCAGCAACATGGAGACCAAAACCACCATCACTCTGGAGATGAAAGTGTCCGTCGTGGTGAAGATGGAGAGCCGGGAAACGACAGAAGTCCTGTGCGTCAGGAGTGATTGTAAAGAAGGACCGTACAGACCGATTCCTCAGGCGTACGTGTACGGCGACACGGTCCAGGTGTGTTTGGATAACCTGGAGCCGTGCATGTATGTGTGTGTGGTGGCTCAGTCCCGGTCCTTATCTCCAGACACCACAGTTTGGGAGAACGTGGTTAAAAAGATAACGTTAGGAGTGTACGGTCCCAAACACATCCACCCGTCCTTCAAGACCGTCGTGGCTATGTTTGGTCACGACTGTGCGCCAAAGACGTTGTTGGTAAGCGATGTGGGTAAACAGGTTCAATCTGCTCCATCAGTGGTGCTTCAGCTTTGGGGTAAGCACCAGTTTGTCCTGTCCAAACCCCAGGACCTCAGTGTCGGGATTTACTCCAACATGGCCAACTACGAGGTAAAGGCCAACGACAAGGCAAGGGTGGTACGAGGCTTCCAGGTTAAACTAGGCAAAGTCAGCAGGCTCGTCTATATGATCGCCTCGCGAAACACCGACGATGTTTCGGACTTCACTTTGAGGATCCAGGTTAAGGACGACCTAGATTGTATACTGGCTCAGTTTTGTGTCCAGACGCCAACACCGCCACCCAAAACAGGGCCAAAGACATCGGTGCAAAGGCGCTTCCTGAAGAAAAAGGAAGTGGGGAAGATAGTCTTGTCTCCTCTCGCTGTTGCATGCAAGTACCCCGTGTTTCAGGACAGGAGAATAAACAACTTAAAGTTTGGAAAGCTGATCAAAACGGTCATCCGACAAACGAAGAATCAGTACTTGCTGGAGTACAAAAAAGGAGACTTTGTGGCCCTGTTGAGCGAGGAGAAGATCAAGCTGAAGGGTCAGCTGTGGACAAAGGAATGGTACATTGGATATTATCAGGGCAAGATGGGATTTGTTCACGCCAAGAACGTGCTGGTGGTTGGTAAAGTTAAGCCTATTTACTTCAGTGGGCCCGACCTCACCACTGCACTTTTACTGGAGCAGACACTGAAGCCCTGCAAGTTCCTCACGTACATCTACGCCTCCGTACGGACTATTCTCATGGAGAACATCGGAAACTGGAGGGCGTTTGCAGACGCCCTCGGATACATCAACCTGCCTTTGACACATTTCTGTCGGGCCGAGCTGGACAGCGAACCAGAGCGGGTCGCATCGGTTCTGGAGAAGCTGAAGGAGGACTGCAACAATTCGGAGAGCAAAGAGCGAAAGTCCTTCCAGAAAGAGCTCCTAACGGTGAGTTAAAACCTTGGCATCTACAGTTGCTGTGACTCAGCATTTCTCAAAGCTTTTTTTTTAAAACTTTGTTTTTATTAGTTCTCGTTTTTGTTACAATAATGAACAGACAAACAATATGAAAGCAGACAGGGTCATCCTGGCTAAAAAGACATGCTTACTATGCTGTAGAAAATATTATACATAATATACATACATACAATTCGTACTTGCACACACATTTATACAAGCGTATTAATCTCCTTAGTTGCTCCAACAGTATGTGTGTAGAGCTAACAAGGGCAGGGTTACATCACACTATCAGGGTTTCTCAAAGCGTTTAAAGGAAATGCAAAGCCTGTTTTTCTCCGTTGCGTCCTTCATGTGTCAAATGAAATGGTCATGTTTTTCTTCCTGCTGGAGAGCATTGCTTTCTCCTGTTATCTGCTCCAGGCTGTTGGCTTCAGACCCCCTTCTAGTCTCTTCATTCTGCTGGGAGTGCAGTCGATAAGTGCTGTGTAGGCACCGAGGTCTAATCGGGACCTGAGGGGCTGTGGAGGGCAAACAAATACTTTTTCTGACTTGAGAGAAACAGAAGCTCAGAGTTACTGTGCAGAGTGCAGTTTGCTGGTCCTATAAATCCAATTGATCGCTCAGGCTACTTTTAATTTAAATCTTTATGTACATATGAATCAAAGCCCTCAGGGGGACAAACCGTGCAGGGGTAGAGCTCAGTGAAACACACCGATACACTTTATTTACAGCATGCAGCTATTTAGAAACCCACAAATACTGCACCTATACTGAGTACTGAGTATCTCTAAACAGTCACAGGTGCCTGTAGAGCTAAATATTAACGGTTAATTCACGGTATAACCCTGCTTCTTGTACAGCAATGATGGAATACTGCCTTTTCCAGATTTAATTCGAAAATCTGACGTTTTTTCTTAAACTGGGATTTAATTTGTGCTTTTATATAAAAGAACAGAGGCCTGTTCATGCTTCTTGCTTTCCTTTCTTTCCTTAGTGTTTTCAGCTTTTGGTGCACAATATACTGAGCTGCGTTCGTGTTTAAACTGAAGCACTTGGTTGTGAATCGCCTGTCACGGAAATGTGGATTTCGCCTCAGGCCGTCTGTGGAGCGATGATCATCCTGACGTCTAAACTGCCCCCATTATATTAAGTCTGCCTACATAAAGCTTTGCATTTCCATTTCTAGTGTGTGTGTACTTACATGGTGGAGACACTGCGATGTGTTCAGTGTTTTCCTAGCTGCCTTTACTTAGCTTCTCATATATTCATCACATTCTCCTGCTGAGCGTCTCCGTCAGAGGTCACGGACCAGCTCCAGCTGAAGGAACTGGGAGCAGAAGCTCTATAATTTACGCGAGGTTGTAAACACTAGTTAGAAGCATTTATAGACAGAGAGAAGTGCACGACATAATCAAAGGTGGTGACGGAAAATATGGCCTTTTGAAGGGAATTCCTCTCTGAATATACAGTAGGTCTGCTTTTTCAGGATTACACCTAAACTACCGCTTACTGTTAGCACACAGCACGCAGCGAGCGAGCACATTTGAGGACGCTTTGTTTAACCCACACAAATATGCAGTTTGCTCCCTGTGTAAACATCTGATGTTTGTTTTCTGTCCTCTGAAAAGTGGATTCAGTTGCGTGTGTGGGCCTCGGATTAAAGCTCAGGGAAACACAGTCAGATGAAATCCCCGTCTTCTTGCTAAATGTTCTTCGTCACAATAAGAACATCTCTCATGATTTGCCGGTGTGTCGTTGACATGGACTGGAGTGTATTTTTAGGAGAGCTCTCTTTGTGCTCATGTCTGAATGCTTTGGGGTCAGCAGCAGTATGTAAACACGTTCAGTGAATATGTTACAGATTTCCCATCGCCATGTGTTCTGGATTCTGCTTCTCACGCTGCTCTGTACTTCTGCTGTAACTTTAAACTATATGCAGAATATCACAGCACCAAAACAATATGTTGTAGGTTCTTCAATGGGTTAGATATGGTTGTAGATTTGTCCGTTGGTAAATTAGGTGTTTTTGCAACTTTGGATGTAACAACTTGTGGTTTTAGCTCCAGGTGATTATACAATATGTCTACAAATTAGATTAGATTAGATTAGATTAGAATCTTTAATGACCACACAGTCAGGCTGGTGGAATTCGTGTTGAGTGCAGATTATTACAGTTTACTGACACACATAAAGTTCAAGGTGTGGTGGATTGTGATTGTTCGGTTATTTAGAGTCCATTTAGTGTCCGTATGATAATGATAATTACTTTTTGAAAGGAGTAGCATATAGCAACAGAGACGCTAATAACAGCATTCAGTACAAGGCCAACATCTCTTTTCATAACACTGCATCGTCCCACATGGTTCCCCTCCTTGACCTGGACCCCCCTTTTGCTATTTTAGATTTTCATTTCGCAGCTCACAACACTTTAGGGCTGCAACTAACGATTATGTTTTATTATGATCAACCTGAATGTTGTTTATGATTTTAAAAATGTCAGAAATGGTGAAAAACTGCAAATTCTAGTCTACCTACCAAACCTCCAAAATATTCAATGTAAGATAGAGAACAGCAGGACATTTTTGAGAAACTGCATTTTTGTTGG